TAGGAGATCAAGCTGGATGTAATCCATCAAGTATACTGGAAGTTTTTTAAATCGCTTAGTATTGACTATAAATATGGAAATTTTTTTCGCTGAATGTAAAATTTAGTGTAGATACGTATATTAATTGGTAATATACGTTTAGTATGCGCATTGTGATGCAATATACGCTCAAGTGAGGCTGAAAGCTACTTGAAAGTAAGTGTATATTCAAAAGTTACATGTAATTTATGTTAGAGTACAGGTGTACATGAATTACAAAGTTCAAGCGTTTGTATAAAGTATTAAGAATGGGGATAGTGAAAATAAGTATCGTGCTCGTACATCATGCGATGGTAGAGAAGGTATAAGGAGAGAGTGTCCGATGATTCGGAAGCCGCCATATTCTTTAGACCACCAATGATAAAAAGGCACGGAGTATCCCTGTAGTAATCTTATGGGTTGTGTCAAACCAATCAGCTACTACCTCAAGTTGTCCACTTACTTTCTTACGTTATGTTAGGCTGGAAGTTGGGCCAGAATATGGCGGAACCAATCAGCATGGAGCTGACGGTTGGACCACTCTCTTCTACTCTCGCTATGTGATGGCTGATGCAAGTGCCACTGCCAGAGATGAGTAGTGCCACTGCCTGCACGAGCAGATCAGATTTTAAACAGCTACGGCACTATATAGACGGTGCTTATGTTTGTTTTTGTTTACCTGTAGTGGTGCGATCAGGTAAGAAAATATATGTTTGATCTTGTTTTCGTGTATTTTCAATCCCGGTTTTGTTTTCTAATAGTGTCTTTTGTCATAGTTTTTATGGAGCGTATGATAGAGAAGTCTATCCTCCAGAAGGAATCGATGGTTACAAAAACATTCATTTAGGTTTCTCTGTCAAAACGGCCATTAAAAATGCTTTACAAGAAAGAAAAATTCCTGATTCACAGATTCAGGAGCGATCTTCCTTAAACTACAAAATTGTGAGAGGCGTTTCCTGCTTGGATCCGCTTGTAGTTACCGAAACTCCTAATCTTGCAACGAGACAGATCGAGGTGGCGCTGGAAGTACTTACATCCAAGAGTCTACTGACAGGTTCCAAAGCAGATAGTATTAGGAACTCTTATGTTGCTTTGGTAAAGCAGCAACCGAGGATTGAAAGACTTAAATCGTTTGACTACAATAAGTCACGGCTTGATTCATTGTGGATGGATCTTGTTACATCAGCATCTTCCGTCGTGACTTCTCAAAGTGACTTGAGAGACTTTCTCAAGATATCTTTGGTGTTGTTTCACCGTAATGCGTCATTAGAACGTGGTTTTTCTTTAAACGCTGATTGCATTGTTGTCAACCAACATGAGGAGTCAATTATCGGCATTCGTGCTATTGTAGCCACTGGTGGTATTCTTAACGTGGATGTGGCTAAAGAAATGATCCAGGCCATGAGAAACCCGCACGGTAAGTGCAAAGAAGCCAGAGTTAAGTGCACTGTGGAGGAAAAAGTTAAGTCAGCTTCTCTCACGGCCAAACAGAAGCGGAAGTCTGAAGTTCGCGAGCTAGAAGAGATGAAAAGAAGACTTCTTCATAGTGCGCAGTTAGCCACCACTGATTTAAAATCCAAAATTGAGTCATTAAAGAAATGATCGTTTCTACTTTGTACCTGCAGTAGCAAGGGCTTTAAAAAATTTAACATGTTTATTCCAAAGATTTAAGTTCCTTTTACCTTGCCTGTGATAGATTTGATCAAATACACTTTGTTTCTAATACACATTTATTTTACGATATAATATTTTGTGAATTTTGACTGATTTGTTCAGTCTTTGACTCTTAATAAAAACAAAATTATGTAATACTTACATTCCAATCAGTTTCGTTGCACCTCTTTTTTTTATCTTCAATTACACAACTAACAATTATTTACTACTTCTAATAAACATAAGTAATATAAAGTTTATATAAAGTGTATGCAGAATAGAAAAATTGGAAAAAGAGGCTGATTTCGTTTTCCTTAAACATACTGGACCAAAACGATATAACCGGGAAATTTAAGATAAGTAGCCGGGAAAAATCGGGAAATAACCAGGGAAGTTGTTTTGATTTTGCACTAGATACCCTGTTGATAGTCAGGTGTATTTACATGATAATTGAGTTGAAACATTCAGTTCCACAATTGCTGTTCAAAAATTTGTTGATTTTTTGAATGGTTTGAAACCTGTTGTACTAATAGCTCATAATGGATTCCGGTTAGTGTTAATGCCTCAGTATTTTTTATAAATCATTTACACATGGTACTTTGAATTCTCTTACAGCTTTGATGATCTTCGACTATTCCATTTAGTGAATCAATTAAATTTAAGTGAATTTACGGAAATTTTAAAAGGGTTTTCGAATTATTCACCTATTTTTAAAATAATGCTTCTTACGAGCGTTTCTGAAAAAAGAGTTTTAAGATCAGTGCTTTTGTTAACAATTACTAAGAAGCTACCAGTCTGGAAAACCTTCACAATGCAGTTGAGGACGTAAAAGTCTTCGATAATCTTTTGAGAGTAACAGCAATTACTTCCGACATAATAAAGAAAAATGTATGCACTGTTAACTATATTTTACAAAAACCACTAAGGGAAAGATCAGAACTGATCATCAAAAGTGCGTTGCTTGAATATGAAGATATTTCATCAACTGGGATGATAAAAAAAACTATAAAAAGGTGGTATAAACAAAAAAATTTTAATACAAACTTACAAGCAAAATGGACAAAAAGATCTTCGAGTTTTATCATCTCAAAATGTTAGTGGTAAACCCCGTGTTACAAATAATAAGGCACTTTTAAACATTTTTTCAATCTTTACATCAAATGATATCCAATCAATCATTCGTTCATTGTCGTTCTCTAAATAAATTATTTACTAATTTCGAATAAAATAGTGATTGATTAAAAAACAAAATGATCAAGTGTTTTCTTTATTTTAGCATTATAAGCTTGTAGTTTTTTTTTAATCAAATTCATTTCTTCGCAAAGACAACGTGCAACTTAGGGTCATGCAAGTTTCTCTTCTCATAAGGCTCAAGTTAAATTTTCAATTACCAACCTCTCTTTCGATGTATATAGATAAAGCGGTTTGAAGTCAAGCCCTTTAAACAGGATTTCTAGAGCTGAAAATGAGCTTTTATGACAGATGAAAAGATTAAGGAGGAGCAGGAAACCGATTCCAACAGTAAAGATTGCTTGCTATGTTCAGACTGAACCATATTATAAATGTGTTGTCAAAATGTCTAGTGTTCCTTCTTTGTTTCCGTGTTATATTTCCGCAGACCTAGTGTATGTGCAAGCGCTTCAGTGCCTGCCAATCACAAGGCAGTTTACTATGACTTTCTACTTATACTGCTCCTTGATTGGCTGTCGAAATAATGCACAGTCTTTGCCCTGAGCTATCGCTGTCGTCGAAATACACGTTGCTGGAATAAACCTTCATAGTTTTACTGCAAAATTAAAGTTGACTGTAGTTTTTTCGGACCCCCCTACCTCGTTGTTCTGTCAAAGTGCATCTCTTATCATTATACAAATTTTTACGCGTTTATCCTAGCTTTACCTAAGCATTTATAACTGACGTTACGGTTAAACAGTACGCTTGGATAATGATTTCTCTATACATTACATATACTATGTATATTATACATTACAGATCTAAAAAAAATGGGTTACCCAAGAAATGAAGGATTAAGATGAGTTTGGTATTGTTAGTTTAGATGACATATAAGGTCAAGATAAAGTCTCTTTTTTGTTTCAAAAGTCTCTAACAAAAAAGTAGGGAAAAAAATCTGAACTAGAAGATGAGCTCTGGAATACGCTAAAAGTCTGGATCAGGATGAGTCTACTTAATCCTCAGAAAGAAGTGGTTGTAGATAAAGTACCTCTCAAGATTAGAGTTATTTACAGTCACCCCAGCTTATTGACAAGATAGTCTCTGACCCATAGTCCAGAAGTTTCAAAAAATAAGGTTAACCAAGAATACTTACAACATGTATAAACACAGGCTGGCATAAACAACACTGTTGGCTGAGGCTACAGCTTTCACTTAGATTACGCGGAATAAGCAGCCCTTCACAGGAGGCAGCTTGTTACTTGCTAATACCGTGAATTGATTATAAAATCGGCAGAACTTTTCTTTTAACTAAATGAATCAAGAGAGCTCTGTATCATACAGCATTACAATAAATGAATTTGAAGAGCGATTAAGTCTACTTTACTTTGCAGCAACAATCTTAAAACCCTGATTAAAACTGACAGATCCACGGGCAAGAGTACGAAAGATCTAATTAGTTCCCCTTTAAAGTAACTGTACTCAACCTAACGCTCCTGAGGAAGCCCACTGGTCAGAGAAGAAAGGACAGAACGTACTTGCCAATTGTTACGTCCCTGCCATGATTTAAATGTTTTATTTAACATCACTACTCAGTTCTTATGGTCGTGGTATGACCAAACATATTTACATATCGGTTACTGTAACAGCTGTACACAGCAACGTATCTTTCGTACTTTGAATATCATTTTATAGCTATCGCAGAATAATCCTAACTTTGTAATAGAGACCGAGAATGACGTGTAGTGCTCCAGCCCATAGAAAAAGTTAAAAAACTGAGGGAGCCAGTGGTATCAAATCGACATGGTATATATATCTGAATGTTTAAGAAGTTATGCATTTTACGGTACAACATTAAGCGTAAAAGTTATGGAAAATTTAATAATAAGTGCCTTTTTATCCCATGTAAATGAAAGCAGGCATTTTCATATGAGAGCCATTGAAATTATTAAGAGCCTGCGAAAGAATGATGTATGTAGAGTCCATAGTGTATTCAAACATCGCGTCTGCTTAGTTTTTTGTTCTCAGTGTTACTAAATATATGGTTTAGCAGACACAACGAACAGTTCTTGTTTGAATGTATCAAACTTTAACTGCTGCAATAACAGAACGCCAGCAATTATTTACATGAAAAAAAAGTTATTTACTAATAATTAAATTTTCTATATGTTTTATGCTTTATGTATTATTATAAAATGCTTTCTTTTTTAGATTTAAAGATATCTACAGACTACGTGGATTTGATGCCATTGGCTACCCCTGAGGTTTCACTTAATCGACACCATCGGCGCATATCGTTTTATCCTCTCCAGGTTCATGCTTGGTACCGATAGATTTAAATAGTTTGACTTCTAAATTCATTCCCTGATATCATACTAAAACATTCAACTGTGAATACTGTTAAATCGAACCGTATCTTTTATTTTTGTATAGTAATTATTAGACGTGAAAAAACTATGGGAAGGGGCTCGTTGTTTGTTTTTGACACGATACAAAGCACTGCATGTTATGCACCTGGCAAGTGTTCGTTGATATAGGCTTACGATTGCGTGTGCAGAGTTACAGCAGGAATTTATATACTTGATATTGCACCTATTTCCATGTAAGCGCCGTCTCAGTTCACGATGTTTTATTTTTGGCTCATACCTACAATTATTTGCACTGATCACTTTAGTATCAAGCATGATTGCAGAAGGATAGATTATTGGAAGAGATTCTAATTTCTGAGGAAAATTTGTGTCACTTAAGCTAATTTCTACAAAAGCAAGCACCAGGTCCGAGGGACCTGCGAAGCAAAGCCTGAAGGACTCCTTGTGCTTAGCCTGGTTGGACATGAACCAGGTGCGAAACCTATTTTTCCTACCACGCCAAAGGTAGGAAATTAGTATATTACGTACCTAGGCCAAAAATTGGGGCTATTACTAACCGCGTTGATGCTCGGTCAATAGAAGCCCCACTTTTTGGCTGTTGTACACATACTTTTTTCTTTACACCTTCGCCAAAAGTTTGACACAAAAGTTCGTAAGATTTGTACTCATATTACCTCTGCACAGTCTACAGCGGCCACGCTCCTGCGAGAGTCGATCATTTTATTTAAAAATCAAATCGTTATACTTTTTTAACTTCTACCTCTGCACTGTGTACAGTGTCCACGCTCCGTACTGGAGAGGCTTGTCTTTGATCAGATCATCAATCACGTCACCCATGAGGGAATGCTCGATCCGTTTTACACGGGCTTCAGACGGCTTAATTCAACTCAGACGGCCCTTCTAAAGTTGACTAAATAGATCAGGACGAACACTGACAAAAAACTGACGCTACTTTTACAGTTTAACTATTCCAAGGCATTTGACACAATGTCACCTTGCCGTCTTCTCGAAAGGCTGAGGTTTCTCGAGGATGGCGCTCATGTGGGTACACTCGTACATCAGAGGCGGGATGAAAAAAGTTAGGACACTAACAAATGAGTCCTCGTCCTAGGCTGATGTCAATCTGGGTGTCCTACAGGGTTTGGTCCTCGGACTCTAGTTGTTTTGCCTGTACATTACCGATGTACGAGACGTCCCGGACTAAGTAGGTGTCGAGCACATTTTCTATTCGGACGTCCTGTAAATATATGTTCGCGCACCAGTGGGAGAGGTTGAGAAGAGAGTGATGGCGTTTAAGAGGGCTGCTCAAGCTGTGTCCGATTGGGTATCAGGTACTTCCCTCAGACTCAACCCTGGCAAGACTGGGGCCATAATATTTAGTGACAAAGCTGCACTTACAGACCTCAGAGAGAG